TTACACCAAAAACTAAATATATCTGGAAACTGCCCTGACACATCTATGCACCAAGTTTTATTAAAACATATTAAATGGTTCTCAAGAAATCACCAAAATAGCCTAAATATTGGTATGTAAATTAGGCAATTTGCATAATTTTTCACCAAAATCAATCATGTCTATACACATTTAAATATCTTGAGTGGTTATGTTTTCATTACAATCACAATAGACCAATCAAAGAAAACTTAGAACTCCCATGTGTTATGTGAGAATGAGAAACAGTTGACATTGGAAATAGTGGTTAGTTGAAATTCCATTTTTAACCAAAAATGACAAAAATATTTGCCAAAATTAGGGAATTAAAGATATGGCCATGGGATGAACAAATCTAGTAGATGTCAACACAAGGTACATACACACTAAGTATGAAAGCATTCAGGCTACCGGTTTTGAAGAAGAAGTAGAAAATAGAATTTTTGACCAAAAATGACCATTTTAAAATATTCGCCAAAATTAGGAAATTGAAAATTTTCTTACCAAATTAACAAAACTGATAGAGGACGACCCAAGGCACATGCACTATCAATATCAGCACTGTAGACCATAGTTTCATAGTAGCATAGAAGAAATTTTAGAGTTTTGGGGGGCTAATTTGCATAATTTTTGGCAGATCGACTTCTCATAAACAAATTTACCATCTACATTCATCAAGGCATTCACACACCAAAAATCGAGTCAAGCGGTTCAGCGTTTTTTTTAGAAGAAGTCGTGCACAGACTGACAGATAGATAGACAGACAGGTGACAGATGCAGGACAGCTAGAAACCCATCCCATAGGCTCAGCGGACCTATGGTCTGTTGAGCCAATAAAAACTACAACATCACAAATTGAATACAAGCTAAGTACCTTAGGAGTATAGGAAATTGATCTGGGAGCTTTTGATATATCTGCAACAAAATACATATGATTATTATACAAGTAACTGTGATACCTGTGTTCACATTGTTTTAGCTACAGAAATAATTGAAAAATTGTAGAATGTTATTGTGAATCTCCAAAATATTATTTTTTTCTTCTGGGGGATTCTTCTTGTTTTGATCATCCTGTGTTTTTGATTTTTTCTCTTTTATTTTTGAAGATGATCTTGGAAACCAGGTGTTCCCGCTAGAAAATGTAGTGCATTAAACTTTCCATACTTAATTTCACTAAACTGTTTGTAATTGAATTGACTCAAAGTCAAGACTACCACAAACATATAAATATATATTGGTCCATGTTTTTGGGAAATTACACACCAAATACCTCACGCATAGTAAATTTAGTGAAGTAGTGTTTGATACCTGTTATATTATGCATCCTTCCTATAGCGCCTTGATGAATTCTTTGTGAACAATTATCACACAGTGGTGAACCACAATCTGTACAATATAGAGTCGCCATTGAACCATCACAGTCAGCACAGAACATTGCTTGTCGGCCTCTTCCACCAACTACAACATAAAACAAAACCATTCATAAATATTTATAACATGGTTTCTGTAGATCATGTTCATTGCATCTGCCCAATAATAGCAATTTGAACAAATCAACTGGAATCAAAAACACATTGTTGCTAATCAAAGTTATTAATGTAAATTTACAAATATACAATGTAAATCTAATACAATAATGTAAGACTAACCTTTTGCATTCCCTCTTCTATAATTTCCTTGTCTTCCTCTCTCTTCCCCTCTAGTCTGCCCTTGACCCTTACCAATTGGTACAGTTCTGTCTTCTTCATAACCTTCTCCATGTTCATCTCCGTACACTACAACAGACGCTTGTGTATTTCTGTAGGCTTCATGCCATCTGCCTCTGACACCTCGTCTACTTCCAAGCCCACCATCAACATCATGCCCAGCTCCATGCTCTAGTGCTCTTCTATCTGGTATACCTTTATGTCCCCTTCTATGTCTTGCAGCATACCCTGTATTATGACCACCTCTATATTGTTCACTAAGACCACCAGAGTCTCTGAATCCAAACCCTTCATCGTTAATACCATATTGTTCTCCATCCCCTCTTCCTAGTCTCCTACCTGCATCATGTCTGTCACCCCCAAACTGAGCTCTTCTCTGTCCTGCCACACATCCTACTCCTCTACCTTGTTCAGCTACATTCCATCCTCTACCTTGTCTGCCTCCTCTTCCTCTTCCACCAACTCCCCAGTCATCTCCATCATCCTCCATAAATCTTTCTATGCTATCATCTTCTTCATCTGATGTAAAAACAAAAATATTATTATTATTTATTATTTTCTCTCAGATATTACAATCTCAGTGTGTTCAGTTCCAGAGCTACAAAAATAATTCATAAAATAATAAAATAAAATATGAATACACATTGAAAATGCATGGGCCCTGTGCTATTTTTACAAGTAGTCTCTTTGTTCAGTACAAGTAACAAGTACATTGTACAAGGATTCCATGCATCATCTGTATGTCAGTATGACTGGAAGCGCACAGCTTGACAAAATGTAGTAAGTATTATTAAACATACCAGTACAAACAAAATGGTTGTCAACTAGATAACTTCATTAAAGCAATAAACTAACATATTCTACAGTAATACCTGTGGGTATACATGTAGTACTTATGTGCAAACGTTCAACTGAATCCGGTGATACATGTATATTAGTGAGGAATCAGCATTGAAATGAAAAAAAAGGCCATCAATCGGTCATTTTTGTTTGAATCTGAAAAAATATATATGACATGCACTTGTATGGTATGATTGATCCTTGTGCAAAGTTTGAACAAAATCACCCTGTTCATCTCCCTGAAATGGTTCCTGACATGAATAAGTATTAGAGTTTGAGGATAAATATGGCCACCAGTTTTTGATCAAATGGTAACGAAAATAGACATGTGTATGTATGTTTAGCTGTATTTGTGTTAAATTTGAATGTGATTGTCAAAGTCTAAGAAATGGCTTGGAATGCATACATGGACAGTCAAAACTCAAAAAATATTATATTTCCAGATTTCCACTTCATCAGCGGGGACTAATGATGCCAACCAGATAAGACTATAACATTTTGCCATGCTTACACGAAATACTAAGCTACTTACAATGAACGAACGACAAGAACGTCTGATATCCCATCCTAACAGCATGGCTATGTATACAATAACTGAACTGCAAGATTCTACTGACCTGTGCGATATCCCATCCTAACAGCATGGCTATGTATACAATAACTGAACTGCAAGATTCTACTGACCTGTGCGATATCCCATCCTAACAGCATGGCTATGTACAAAAGCACCCACAGGATCTATTTTATGTCTGTGCTCATAAATCATATCTTTATAAAAGTTTTCCAGTTTTAGTCGAGTGAAGCGACTTATAGTGAGTTCATTCTTGCCATGACTACCAAGAAAGCCTTGTAGATCATCTATTGTTTCTAAAGCTTTTGGTTGTCTTTGGTTCATACTGTAATAAAACATACATGTAATCATAAGCTGAAGTGATATTATACTTCCCCGTGTATATCCCTGTATTTTTAGACATTTAACAGTTGAAGGCATCCCAAGTTATAGGCCTAGGGTGTTTTTACAGAGCGTTGAGGACATTTATTAAAATATGCTTGATTGGTACGGTAGTTTGGTTCATACTTTTATGAGAAAACTCGCATTAGTTTGAATGGCAAACATACGAAACATGGTTCACATCCTTTCTATTCTGTTATTTACTTAGAATGAACCTCAATGTTGCAATACTGAAGTAATACTGACAGAAGTAAAAATCTTTCTTTCTGAGGTGATCCTAGGTATAAACCCACTCCTTCTATCCTTGATTATGACCATGGAAATAAGGTACAAAAAAAATTAAGCAATACGATATTTTATATACTGGTACATGTACATGTGATATGTACTTAATGGCTGTACTGTATTTGCATACAGGCATGTACAGTATATGCATATATCAGTGTTCTCCCCAGACATGGAATCAAGCATCGTGACTAGTTTGCATAACAATACATCTAATTTGCATAATTGTATTTGCATAATAATCAGTTTCCCCAATAAGCACTGGGTTATGAAAATTTGTCAACCTATCTACCGTAGTTGATACAATAAAAAAATTGAGGTCATGTCCGGGCATACACCCAGGGGGTCTTTTTTCACACTTGAAATAAAAAGAAATAAAAAGAAATCTATTTATTGTTCATTGTATGAACAGTTGACTGATAAAAAGTCTGTTGCGATTCTGATAAAAAGTCTTGAAAAATAAATGTCAATTGCGAAAAACGAGGGGTGAACACGAAATAGCCGTGAAAGCGAAATAGGTAATTTTGCGTTCTGCCTTCAGGGCACCGCTGTTTACGTAATTTACATTTATGTTTCAGTAAGTTTACAAAATGTATATTTTGAAATGGTAGTTCTCTTTTTGAAATCGATCGTGGCCCTGAAAAGGGTTTGTGTTTCCTTAGAATCAATCAATTAGGTTCAATAAAATTATACAGTATCGAGAGCCATGAAGTGAGTATCACACTTGTTTGGCTTTAGCGTCATCGACAATTAAACCAATGTTGCAATATTGTAGCAATCCATACCTGAGAGAGTGGTTGAAATCATGTTATTTTCGCTTCATAAAATATTTGGTAGCAGTTAGCGAATCCAGTTTTTAATAGTTATTTAGGACTACGATTACCAAATATTATCTTCTATATATCATATTTATCAGTCCGAGGAGCAGTCCACCATTTCAAAATCACAAGTGTTATTTATAGGTCCACTGCTGCCATGACACACAACACTTTCATGGACAGCATCATCAACACTATTATGTTCAACACCAATACTCTCTTTGACGGCATCATCACCTTATACTAAAATATGTTTGGATATTTAGAGTACCGGTAGTAAAAAATGTTCACTTCTGGCACAGTTATACTATACTATGAATATTTAATTTTGAGATATAATTTTTGGTATGTGTTTGTTTCTAGATATTTCAGTTTTATTGTTCTGTACTTTGTTTAGTAATTTCAACTTCCCAGATTGTGTAAAAATGGATAGTTAGACACAGAAAATGCCTGGGCAAAATCATATGCTGAGGATAGTTCCTTACAATGTATGTATGTACACTCTAACATGCAGCACATAAATGCGCTGAGCAATCAAATAATTACTTTGCGCAAAAGTATGTTTGAGGTCGTCAATTTCTGATAACATAAACATGGTTTTCACCCTCAAAAGCGATTGATTCAAGTTTCCCTCAAGGGTAAACAATGGTTAGTTCACGTTTTGTATTAAGATTTGAAACAGTTTCAAGTGCATCACATGTTCATTTTCCTTAAATAGCGTTTTGGGGTTCATCACTGTCGTCCCTGGAATCTTACCGATATAGCGACTTTGTCGCAATTTCCGTAGCAATCACCATTAATTCACAAAAAAACCTCATAGTGAAATAGTAATTAGCCTAAAAATATTTTTCACTTTTGTCGTCATTTTTAATTATGCTTGCTATTTCACACACAAGAGTGAATAAAACTGGAACACCAATACTAACAGTATGTCACTGAGCAGTATAACATGAATGCATGATGCAAAGCCCATTCTATAAATGTTTAAATGTTCCTTGGTCGAAGTAAGAAACTACATGTAGGTGATGATATCAGAACATGGGTCTCCTAAGTCCAAGTGTATGACGACATCGGTGAACTTCAGGACGAAGCTGTAGGAATTTTGTTGGATGGCTAAAGTAAAGTGCCAAAAATGGCAATGAAGGTGCAAACTATGAACTTTTGTAATTTTCACTGTGTGAGTTTGTAAATTATTATTGCTGTGTATGATCCTAATTCAAATGATTCCTCACTGTCGATTTTTATTATTTCTGGTTTATTTGTCATATTATAAGCAATAAATTATTTTTGTTATACTTCTAATGTTGCATATTGTTCATTTATTTCCGTTGCATGTTTTCATTGGCCCTTCTATTCCCTGCTGCAGTTTGATCTGCGTTTGGTAAATTTTTGTGAATTTGTAGGTTTTTTTTACAGGGGATGTCTGGGCATACGGCCAGCCCTATTTTTTGTCAATTTTCCTTGTTCAGGACCCTGGGCGCTTACCTGGACAATTACTGTACAAGTAATTAAAGACGAAATATTTTTATATCTGATATATTTTATATCATTTTACTCCATTGTATTTTATGTGCATATCAAGTCAAATAAAGTTTGAAATAGAACAGCAGAAAAAAAAAGAAAACTTATGTTATAGATTTTTCATTGACCTACATCTTGTGCGTAACGCTACATTGTCAACTGACAGCATTTAACGTATTCAGTTGCGATCATCAGTATTTGACTTTTTGGTTATTTTAGAGATTACATGAAGATAACCAACGAAAACCGAGCATTCTGCACCGCCATCTTTGTTACCTTGATCATTGTAATCAATTGTACCCCAGCATGCATCGTTTGAATTAAGGCACTTATTCATTTTTGCTTCGGTTTATTTACAGTTTTCTTTCCAATGCTAATTAATTTCACTTGTTTTTTTTTTAATTTTGGTACTTAGTGTCACCAGCGATTGAGTAGTAAAAACTGCAATTAACTGCAGTGCAGCAAATCAGGATAGATCATCTTGACGCCCACTGTATTTGTAATTTGTGAGACTTGTTTTGTCACCTCGTTGACGTTACATGCAATGGCCAAATTATTACTACCCTAGTACAGTATTTGTTTTTGGATTAAGTGGCTTAGTACCTTCAAAAGACTTGGTAACTTCTTCTTTTATCACTGTCTTTGTACGGCTAACAAAATTATTATCTTTCGATCAATACATGTTTTATTAAATTTGTGCAAGATGAAAATGACATTTATAAACAAAGCAATAAACATCATGGGTGAGTGACCAAGCGCCACGGACAAAAGGCGAGCATCACGGCCAATCGTCATGGTACCGTGATGCTTCAGAGGCCTGGGGAGAACATATTATATTGAGTAATACTAAGAGTATTCATAAATTATACACGTAATACATGTAGGAAGTGGTTGGTAGGTAGGTCATAGCAAATAAAAGATGATAGCTTTTAATAAACACTAATATACTACAATATACTATTACATTGTAATAGGCAATATTTCTGTGGTGGTCCCTATTTTTGAAGTGTTGGGCAGACTAACCATTGATGACCAGCATGGTGAGGTTCCCAAGTTGTTGAAGGTAAAAAGAATGACAGAAATGATAGTGGTAAAGTGATACTAGTCATTGGTAATGGTTACCATGGTGGTACAGATGTACCAAAAATGTAACAATGTGTGGTGGTAACTATGGATTATTTTTACTACAAAAATGACTGCCATATCATCAAAGTACATCAATACACATGGCGATGTCATTGTGTTTGGTGAATCACTTACTTGTTACTGTTAAAGAGCACACCAAGTGCAGCTCGTCTGTGTATGATGGTTTTCTTTGTCCAATTCTGAGTGTTTCTACAGTTGGGTTTGGCTGCAGCTTCCTGCTCTGCATCTTCAATACACACATACATACATGCACACCAGAACGGATTACTGCAGGTTTCAAATATCGCATTCTCCTCCAGTTGAAAATTCCCCTGATAAAATCCAATTGACTTCTCATCAGCAAGTCTTTCACCTTTGTAGTACAATTCATCAAACTTTGCCATTGGTCGTTGACGCTTACACATCTGTGTGCAATGACAAGAGAATGCATTTTCACAAATTTCATTTTTTAAATTGTATTGTTTTATTCATATTTATCATACAAATACTACCAGTGTTCTGCAACATGTCATTCTGATCATTTCTTCCAAATTTTGCATCTTCAAGGATATACAAAAATCAATAATTTTATATTATTTCAACACTTACAAAGAAAAAGAATTCTGGTCAACTTGTTTTTCAAAATCAATGCACAAACTCTTTCGGTATATTTTATTTTGTCATTTGATTTTTACAAAAATAATTTAAAAAAAAAATGTTTTCTTCCAAATTTCACATGTTCATGTCATAATTGCATATTTACTATTATATTATACCAGTATATTTATCCATCAATTTGATTGGTCCAAACAAAAGATTTGCATGTGCAATTAATGGTATATTGGCTAATAATGCACAGTTATGATAAACAAAGTGGCCCTGGAACATGAATTGACTACAGGTTTAATGTGGAAATACATAAAACCGGTAGTATTTGATTTTTAGGGTAATATAGTGGTTGAATATTGGAAATAATACTGAATTAAAAACATCTGAAAAACTATATAACCATAATATTGCTTTTTGTTAATGGCGGGATCCAAGTTGTGAGCGTTGGCCGTTAGGGTGATCGTCGTTCGCAACAAAAACCTAAACCATCGTCCCTCAACACCATGAGCTGACAAAATTGCAGTGAAATTGCACCAGGGTAATTGCCATCTTTTTCAAAGACCACTGGACAAGGCAGAATTCGACGACAATATAGGGTATTGTAATTCTCCACTATGGGTAAATAAATTACAGGAGATGATGAAGGTAATTTCGAAATTTGCAGATTTGTGCCGAGTATACACAAACCATTGTACAGAGCGCTGGCTTGCAAAGTCCTTCATATACGTGTCACACAAACGATGCGAGAATCCGATCTTACACCAACAAACTTACCTCAGAACAACAACAAAACTTGTCAGGCATACAGTATACATGATACTGTCACAAAACTTTGGTTATACCAAAGATGTATCCAGGTCAGATGTTGGGACTGAGGTCGCCATGCTGGTCGCTGTACATGATACACAACAGCATGTCTATTCACTGAGGATACGTTTCGTTTTCACGCGGAATAAAAATTAGTTTGTATTCAATTTGATCTGTGTTTTTGCATGCATTCAGTGTACAACAACATACTATTCTTATAAATATTCATGTTCAAGGGCCATAATCATGATCTTATAGTAGATGCAAGTAAATTTTTTTTTTACTAGTTTTATCGAATTGTTAATATACTGGTATAATATAATAGCATTAATCCCCCAACAAAGTTGAGTATACCACTAGATATTGCAATATCTCATGGTATAACCGCCAGCGGAGGTAATTGCTTAAATAATACACAGTCCTGTATGCAGAGCAACAAATGTACATGTATAACTGAATGCATTACAAGCACTCTTTCTTCTCAATAATTTTCATAAGTGCTAAGGTTTTTAATGTACTCATTATTTCAAATACCTAGAATTTATTCATTTTCCAATAAATTAGACTTCTGATCAATATAAGGATATTGACTTAAGAAAATTTAGGTTCACCAGCTTAATTTTCGAGAAAATGATTATATTATAGCAGACAGTGGCCATTTTGGCACTGTTATAACATTTTACCATAGGTTTCTATGGCAGAGATAATATGTCATATCTTAAATTGTAGCCTGGTGACATAGACTGAAAAAATTATATATTGTGAATAATGGGGTACTTTTTGTTTTAAAAAAAGCCAAAAAATGTATTTTTTCTTTCCACATATAAAAAGAGTTTTTTGAAAAAGTTTCTCAACATATGTCACTGTAACACACAAAAGAATGCTATTTCTTGGAGCCATGGGACAGTAGCTTCACGATTATAGACAAAAAAAAACAACGAACACTGTCATGTGATTTATGACAAACTTTATCTGAAATTATAAGAGCATGTCGTAAATTTACACCTTCTTTTTACTATTGATTTCTGCATGTATAGCACTTATTTATTTACTTGGTTTTATACTCGCTTTTTAACAATAACAATTCAACAATACAATGTAATGTTTCCTTCACAAACAAGGCTAGCGAATATACCTGCCTGATCCGCTAAAATGTAAAGCCTGCTGTGAATATTTCTACTTCTACATGTACATTGCTTAATTTGAATAAACAACATTATGGTTGGATTAACCCCCCCCCCCTCCCGGCAAATCATCCAAGCAACACATGAACCAAAGGGGAGACGGTCGATTCGTCCCAAATCACATTCGTCCCAAGTCGATTCGTCCCACAAGTCGATTCGTCTCAAGTCGATTCATCCCACAAGTTAATTCGTCCCAAAGTCGATTCGTCCCACAAGTTAATTCGTCCCAAAGTCGATTCGTCCCAAAGTCGATTCGTCCCACAAGTCGATCGATTCGTCAGATTTAAGGTTAGCCCACTACTAACTCGCCAAATAAACACAAAAAATCCAAACAACGAACTGTTCACGTACACGTCATGCACTGGCATGCGTAATTGTTCATTATGCAATTTTGTTTTTGCCGACGTTATAAACAAATACACCGTACACGCAACGTAGAATTATTAGTTAATAAATACAAATACACCGTACATGCAACGTACAAGTTATTAGTTAATAAATAAATACAAACACACCTTACATGCAACGTAGAGTTATTAGTTAATAAATACAAATACATCGTACATGCAACGTACAAGTTATTAGTTAATAAATACAAATACATCGTACATGCAACGTACAAGTTATTAGTTAATAAATACAAATACACCGCACATGCAACGTAGAGTTATTAGTTAATAAATACAAATACACCGTACACGCAACGTACAAGTTATTAGTTAATAAATACAAATACACCGCACACGCAACGTAGAGTTATTAGTTAATAAAAATACAAATACACCGTACACGCAACATGGAGTTATTAGTTTAGCGTGTCAGTAACAGTTGGCATAAGAAACTG